AAGTCTAGCTGTAGCCCACTGCGGAAATCCATGCCTGGTTCAACAAATGACAGGAATGCCAGTTTGGCCAGCTGGGCAAATCCGTCAGCAACTTCCTTTCTGACAATGCTCGAACGTAGGCACGTCAAGATGAACCAAGATGGTTCGGCTGACAGCAAGCTGCCGCCAAGTTCCTCAGCACGCGCATGCGCAAGAACCGTGTAGACAGGGGGTTCCAAAAACTATGTTGGTAGATAGTCGCTCTCATAAACGTTGGTTGAATGTGCATGCGAGACTCTGCTATTGCCCAGTAGATAGCAAACACCTTCCGCCTGTTATCTGCCTTGAGCACGTTGCCAGGCGATATTTCGTCTGCGTACAATATCAGCCGGTAGGGGGATGCCGGAGTCGATGTCTTCTGGGAGAGAAGCAGCTTCAGTGCTGCCGACCAACCGGGACACTTCTGGGCAGTGAAGTGTAGCATTGCCGCAGGGCAAACATATGTCACATTCTTTTGGCCACCAGTTTTCGTTTCTACACTCCACTCTTTCACTACCGAACCAAAAGGCGTCAAATCCCCTATGGCAGCAACCCGTGCTCTCTTGATCGACTGTCTCGAACAAGCTGAAGGCAACTCCTCGGCATTCCGCAAGTCAGCCAGCACTTGCGAGAGGGCCGACTGGCTGACAAAGGACTTTTTTCCCAAGCGGGACAGGTCCACCATTTGCTAATGACACGGTGGGCGATGGCAAGTACGATAAAGTATATAATTTCATATACCAGGAAGTGCACTATTGTGTGCGGCCACGAGATCATTCTGTATGGATGTATGTATGTATATATATATATAGTCTAAACTCTGATTTGTTTTTCACTGCAAGCTGGAAGCCATGTTGCATTCACAACAGTCACAGTCACAACAACTCGTCTAACAACGCAGTTCAGCACTACTGACGAGCATGATTGGTGTGTCTGACTGCAGCAAGAGTCCTATACAGACTTAGAAGCTATCGTTACATATTGTTTAAAACCTCCACGCTTCGAACGCCACACTGAACCACGCCTGGGCGGAGTCCACCAAGCCTTGGTTGGAGTGCAAGTCACACTAAACAAAGATGTTTCACTGCATATTGCGAGCACGTGTGCCCTGCAACTGCGTGAAAACCATTTTCCTCTGCTGATGCTGCCTGAAGTGCTGGCATCAAACACATGTCCATCGCCGCAAGCGCGACAACACTCTTTTTGAACGCTGCGTGACCCTTCAAAAACTGTCAAAGACCATGTGAGTGGGTCATCTCCATGATGGGCGAACGAAGCCAGGCTCATGTGCTCTGCTTTGCTGGGCGCTTCAGTACCTTCCGCCCCTTTGGCTTCGCACCCTTCGTGCTGGGACGCTTTGCTGGCATAGCCACTGGAATTGGGGGATGCTCATCGGGATCGTCGACTGAAAATGGACTCTGCAAGAGCATCCACTGCACTGTGCGTGGCGACCGCACATCGAAGACCCGCTCGCCGAACACGAACTTTGCATTGCGAAACTCGGGCTCGGTGGCATTCCAAGTAGTGCCATCGATCATTTGGTTGATGACCCTGCTGAAAGCGTCCCGCGTACGCTCAGCCCATGAGCAGATGAAGTGCTCGACCGTGTCGCCTGACATGGAGTGCACACTCACCACGGGAATCCCATCAGGCCAATTCCAGGCAATGTTGAAGATTTTCGAGTTCACTGGCCTTGCCAGAAACGGCTCTCCACGCCCGCAGCCCTCAAACTGGATGGTTTGCGAAACCTCATCAACTGCTTTGACTTTGTACTTGTGGCTGAGCATCCCTGTCTCACACAGCGTAACCTTCTTATCTTTCACAGCATCGAAGCCATCCTCTGCCACAAGCTCGCACAAGTCATTCACCTTGCGCGCAGACGCCGGGGGCACCAAGAACCACCCCTCGTTCCCAACGTTGGCCATGAGCTCCTGCATGCCCTGCTTTGCTTCCCGGCGCGTCAAATGGCGCTTCTGGATCAAGGGCTCCGACATTGCACGCGTGACTCCTCAATGACTCAACCGCCCAACCCTCTCACGCTCCACACGCTCAGCCAAACAACTGTAGTAGACTCAAGTCACAAAATCAGTCGATACAGTCAACAAGTCAAGCACACATGGAAGTATCTGTAGACTCAAGTCACTAGATCAGTCGACTCAGTCAACAAGGCAAGCACACATGGAAAAGTACATGGAAACAACAACTGTCGCAAAATCAAATGAAAAGAACAAACCGCACTTCAATCTTCAATCGCACAGCCTCTCTTCTCGAAACAGCCCTTGCGTAGCAACATCGAAGTATCAAACGCATCTCAAAATGACAGTCTGTCTTCATACGACATGCGGCTCTTGTTTTCCTGCTGCATTGCGGCGTCATAGGGTGGGTACAGAGCGCATCACTGCAGCTCTGCGAGCACCCTTGTGCCCTGCATGTTGCGTGATGCCTCATTCAACCCATACTCTGAGCTTTGTACTTTCTGATCCGCTCACGACACTCGGCGCAACCATTCGTTGCACCGGAGCATTTTGAGCAGCCAGGAATTCCTGCACACAGCCGGTCTGTGATGGTCTCAAAGTCCCCCAGCCAAGCATGTTTCTTGCCAGAAGCCTTAGCCTTGGCCTTTTTGGCGGCTTTGGGCTTTGGTGTCGATGCTGGACTCTTAGAAGGGCGCTTCATCATCTTCACTGATTCCCTTGCGTCAAATGCTTCCTGCACCCGTTTGGCTTGCTCTTCTGGAGTGAAAAGGCTTTGTTGCCCTCGTCTGCAAGGTGGTGTCACCTCTGCCTGGGGTGGTGTTGTCTCCACTCTTGCACCTGATGCTTGTGGCGGCGTCGGTGTATCCTTCACCTGATGTGTCTCTTCAGGTGATGGAGCTGGCAACGCAGGCAATCCAGGCACTGCGGGCAATGCATGCTGTGGTGCCTGCTGGCGCCCGCGCATTTGGAAATTGGTCAAATTGCCAACATCTGAAGAGCTTGAAGAAGCCGCCCCCCCACTCATGAAAGCAGCGAAATTCTGCATGAGGTGCATGAAGGCCATTTGCTGCTGGTTCACGTGCTGTGGAGCTGGCGCTGCTATGGGCACGACCTGCTGCAGCTTCGAGGCATCATCCCTCAGCGACTTGTTCGTGCTTCGATAAATCACTGAATTCTTCATTGCGATGCATTCTGACTCGTCTAACTGTTGTGGCGGGTCATCGTCTGTATAGGCATCCCGGTAGATCGACAACTCTCTAGGGTTGGGCGGAAAGGTTGCGATGAAGTCAGGAGTTGCTACCCGACCAGCCTTCCGCTTGATCATCTTCTTCAACTCACTAAAAAGGCTATAGTCATTCTTGGCAGAATCAGTGGTTGTGAGCCCGGCAACTCGTCCAGCTGCAAAGACAGAAGCAGCTGCATTTTCCTCACATGACTGCACTGCAAAAACACGTGGGCAACTCCGCAACACGTCAGACCCTCCCAAACAAATCAGACCCCCAAAACATCTAACAAACCTGAATCTAAGCCAAAGGCGCGCTTGGCAAAATCAATCCCACTTTCACGCATCTAGTGGCTAGGGTGTCAAGCTTGACTGCGTGCGTGATGTCCTGCTGCGACAGCACTTGACAATCTTGCTTCGACAGGTAGCCTGCAAAGGACGCGCATGTTTGGTTCTGTCTTCTGGCAGGCTTCTCACCAATTGACTTCATCATCTTTCCATTGATCACCTGAGAGAGATCTTTCACATCGTCGGCTAGCCAAGGGCCCTGAGCAATGAGTTGGACAAGTGCAGTCGCTTCTGTGGCAGGAAGCTCTGAAAGTGCTTGGATCCTGCTCGTCAATGCCATCTTGTGCGACTTGCGCA